GAAGATGGTTGTTCAAAAAGTTAATTAGTTCTTTCAAATACGCAAATTCTTTAATACCCATTGACTTTTTTTTAATCCTATGTTAAAGTGTTCTTATGAATTTTGAGTTCTTAATTAAAATTTTCGAATAGTAAATTGACACAGGTAAAAGGAGAATTACTAAATTCTAATTTCTAAAAAGAAAAACAGCAGTGCGAAGAAGAACTTGCTCCTGTTTTCGAACTATAACTTTTTTTTTACACTTTTAATAAGGTTAAATAATTATTACTTTCGCTTCAGTTGTTTTAATAGTTATATAAATCTAAACCTGAGTTTATACTTCTTTGAAAAAGAAAATTAGAAATATTTCAGTTTGCTAGACTAGGAATTTTTTTCAAACTAGACATGGCTAAGTCTTTTAACTAAATAAGTACTTTCAGGGAATTTGCATTGTTTCAATAAGTAGAAGAAACAGAGAAGGTTTAAAGCCCATCTTTTTCATATTAAGCGTTTAATTAACTGATGAGCACCAGGCAGCAACAGGATATTAAGCAGAACTACATGTTTTTGTCTGCTTTGTTTGCACATGTAACACATTTTCATACAGAAAAGTATATTTTTTCTGCTGTAAGTTCCTTTTTTTTATGTTTCATCTCTTAGTAATATATGTATAGGAAAAAGTTGAATTCTTTCTATAGTTAGATTAAAATATACTAAAAGCTAGTATACATATTGTTTACTTTTTACTATCAATTTCAATGTTTTTTTTTTTAAATTATTGAAAAAAAAATGCTATTAATCTAGCTGTCTTATCAAATAAAAAGATACCTTAGCTAAAGAAGAAACTGAGAAAAGACACAGCATGACAAAAATAAAGAAAACTTCATAAAATATTAAAAAAAGATAAAGAAACTAAAAAGCCGATGATATATATTTTTACACAGAAAGTTCTGTTTACTGATGTAAGCTAATTTAACTTAAGAATTTCAGTGGTCAGATTTGTTATTTCTCATCAGTAAATAAATATCTGATATTGCTTTAGAAATAATTATAGCCTTTGACATTTCTTCAGGAAATTAATTATTGAAGTATACTTTTTAATAACTCTTTTAAATCCAGTAAATGGAATCTCTCCCGTAGTGGGACAAACCACCCTCAAGTACGAAGATTTGAACATGTTTATACACGTTTTAATCATTAATAAAAATGATTACGCAAATATGAAAAATTCATTATATTAAAAAATTAGATAAATATTTTCATAATAAGTGAGAAAAACTTCCCAAGTTTCACTTAAACAATACATAGTAATATTAATAATTTAATAATAAACAGTCTGAATTTGTAATGACCATATGTATGAGCATGCATAGCAATAATCAATACATCTGGCAATATTTGCATGTGTAACAAAAATTTAATAATCTATATATATATATA